TGACACTTGCAATAATATGGATAAACCTCAAAAATATGCCAAGTGAAGCCAGGAGCAAAAGATGACACATCTTATGATTCCATTTTTATAAGATTTCCAAAGCCAGGCATGGTGGTACACACCTGTAATTCCAGTATCCAGGAGACTGAAGCAGGAGAATCACCATGAGTCTGAAGGCTACATAGTGAGTTACTTGGGGTATTATGATAAGTTCACTATAATAGTATCTTTTATCTGAGAAATGCCATCTCAAGTGAAGGATGTACTACAGTCATGGTTTGAGTTAGGTTCTTTTTATGTGCTTCAAAGAACTAAAACCTTGTCCTTGTTACTACTATACACACAATTTTTACAAACTGAAATCAGCTCAGATATTTTGTCAAAAGACTTATAGATTTATTAACATTTTAATGGCTCCCTCAAATTAATGAACTAAGATGCCTTTACACAAAGCCTGCTCTTAGGATTATTATTCTGAGGATCGATTACTGTGCTGTGATGTGAGTGTAGGTGCAATTCATGCAGGAAGTCTGATTAAGTGATTTCTTACAGCAAGAATCTGCTTTTTGATAAGGCTGCATATCAGGAGCTATACAACTCTGATGTATTATGACATACCAACTGCTACTGTACTACACAAGAAATGTATTCTCTAACACACTGGGTGTGGGAACACTTTCTGTAAAGGGTCAGATAATGCTTCAGACTTCATGAGCCATACAATCTATCATAACCACTCAACTTTGTGACTGCAATACAAAAGCAGTCACAGACAATACATACATGTCTGCGTCCTGATGAAATTTTATTTATAGACGTGCAAAACTGAATTTCATACAATTTTCTTAGGTCATAAAAGATTACTTTTTAAAATTTTTTTCTGGGTAAGGATAAGGTCAAAAGGCTCTACAGGTTTGGCATTTATACTAAATCTTCCAGAGGCCTTAAAAGATGATACTTAGATCATAATTTTTAAAAATTATCTTTGTTTTATAACTCATAATTAATATACCTAATATAAAAGCTAAAATATTCTAAATATCTAATCAATTAATCTTGTTTATGTATGTTGACCACAGGAATTTCATTTTTCCATTTTCTTTTTTTTATTGTTTATGTCCACCTTTCTGAGGCCTTTAATGATATAAATAATCTATCAATTTTAAAGATCTCCATCTTTAAAGTTCTCAGAAACCCTCAAATGGAAGCTATAAAATCTGACACTGTCCTATAATGAAAATATAGACCACCTTTTCAACAACCTTTTATTAAACATACTAGCCCACTAATTATTTTCTTTTAAATTATTCAATCTTTTGCTTCCTGTAAGCAGAAATTTGCTAAACTTTTAAGAAATTTGTATAAAAAGCAGAGAATAAAATTAGAATGACTATAAAATAGAAAACATTAAAAATATGAATTTTAATCTCTTTTAGAAAGTGAAATACATAATAATGGCTAGGCCTAGGAGGGTAGCATCACTAGAATATAAACAATATTTAAAATTAGAAAACACTTATTTCTTCATCTTTCAGACCACTCAAAACATCTACTTACAGTGACTCAAATTCCAAGCAGTAAAAAAAAATCTTCATATATAGAATTTGCCCAAAAAAAAAGTATACCCATAGGAAAAGAAAAACAGTATAGTATTTAAATAGCAAATATGAGATATCATGAGATTAACTGAAGAGGTGCTCAAAGTAGTAGCCATCTGTTGAAAAACATCATTCTATTGTTTTCTTCCTAAAGTGTGTATACATTTTTTGGTGAACCCTCTATAATTATTAAAATACCTCAATAAGTAGAGGAAATTTTTAATACTCTCAATGCATGTGATTTACAAAGAAAAAGAAAAAGGTGACATGTTTTATACTACCATAGAAAACAGACTAAAGATTAACACATCTCCACCCACTTGATCCTACATGCATGACTGTCCCATCGGATGGGGCAAACAGATCTAATCACTTTTACTGGTCTTTTTACTAATAAAATTAATAAAAAGCTGCCAGATGGAATAGTCATACACATACCAATCAGTAGTTCTAATTCTCAGCAGCAAGACATACGAATTTTGGCCCCATCTCAAACATGTTATCATTTTTGGCACTATGGGTTAACTTTTAAGTATACAAATTTCAGAGAAGAACTGGATCTCTTGTTTTCTTGCAAAAAGCTGTGAATTCTAGAAAGAAAACTAGTTTAGGTAGGAACTCATCCACCAGAGGGGGCCCTTATAAAACAAGAGAAATAAAATATTAATGATATTAATATTAAAATATTGACAAAAATCTAGTTCAGAATATATCTCAGAATTCAACACAACCACACAAAAATTTCTGTGTATGTTCTCTTTCTGACAACATAAAATTCCTGTCATTGTAATGTGTTCCTGGACTTGTTTAGGTGTCCAAAAACTGAATTACATGAAGACCATGCATAGCAACTGCACCAGACAAGTAAAATTCATCCCTTCTATTTTTCTCCACACAAACCCCTTTTATTAACTTTAAAAAGTTAGTTCTAGGATCTTTTTTTGAAACCAGTCACAGTATCAATAGTCACTTTAAACAGCCACCTAATTTTAGGTTTACCAATTCTAGGAAAGCACGTATCATCACCATTCCTAGCCTCCCTTTTACCTCCTACCATTTAGATAATAGGTATTGTCTACAAGTCTTTGTAAACCTATTAATCAGGAAACATAGCAGTTTCTGAAAATAATATTAAATACTTAATAACGTCCCAACAGCTCGTGTAAACCTCAAATAACCCCTTTCAGGCAGGCACTACTATTATGGTCACTTTACAGATGATGGAACTGAGACTTAAAGGACTCACTACTGGTAAAGAGCAGATGACAAATTACTCTACTTCATAAGGGACAAAATATACGTGACCTATAGATCTAGAACTTAAAGAAGTCAAGCAGTGAGCCTAAGGGATAATTCTGCTCTACAGCCACTTTAAAAACCTAACCCAGGGAAGGGAATTTATAAGACACGTGGGTTAGGTGTTACATTTTTCAGAGAGAATGTATAAGCAGGTAGGCAGGCAGAACATAATGCTGTCGTTTTTGTTTGTGTTTTTCTGGATCGAATTCGGGTCCTTGCACTTGCAAAGCAGGTGCCAGAACCACTGCACTAAATCCCCGGACTGGGCAGAACATAATGAATAAAATGGTTCAGCAACCTGGAAAAGCTGTTGCTACTGATGCATAACATACTGCTA